TGTGTATGTGTGTGTATGTCTTTTCCTGTGTGTTTGTGTGTGTATATGAATGTATGAGTGTGTATGTGTGTACACGTACAGAACCTTGTTTTTTTGAAGGGGAATAAGTAGCTGTGTGTGTTTGCTTTTTAAACCTCTGACTATTCTAGAAACACTAAAATAGGTACTTGTTTGTTCAATTTAGAGGGCTATGACTTGTGCTATCGTTTTTTATATTTTTATCACCAATAAACTGAATGTGCATAGCCTTTTTTTTACTTATATGTGTATTATGAGACGTATGTTTTTTTTAATATATATGAGAGCTCTGACGTCTGAGCCCTGTCACAGCGAGTGAGTCACAGGCTGTCCCTGAGGCTCTGGCACTCTGCCCTCACTACATACCTTGCTGGCTGAGAGTCCTCACTCCTCAGCCACTCAGCCACTCAGCCGGAGACCTGAGGCCCTGGGTTGATACGACAGCGACACAGACACCCCTGAAAGAATGTCGCCGCGACATTTATGACATGTCGTTTGCACAAATGTCGGCGTCGTTTACCAACCCAGCTGAGGCCTGAGGGCTCAGGGCTCAGGTGACAGGTCTGAGCCTTGCGCTCGCTGCACGGTGACTGTGGTCTGTGGGTCGGTGCCTCCTGGACCTGAGGCCTGAGCGGCTGTCGGCCTGAGCTTCTGTCGGCCTGAGCTTCTGTCGTGAGAATAAATAGTTGTTTTTTTTCAGAAGAAGGCTATTTTTTTTACAGATCGCCGTTTTTGTTTTTGTTTTAATTCAGAAGGCTGATATTTAATTAAATAAATCTGGGCCCGTCGCCCGTGTCTGCCACTCTCAGTCTCTCTCTCTACTTTAGAGAGAGTCTCTGGGCCAGTGGGCCGTCTGACTGCCAGACAGCCGACTGGGGGATCTGGGTCAATTCTATTGAGTAAAAATGAGATAAATAAAATGTAAAGTAAAATATCGAGTATTTGCGCGTGTAAAATGACTACAGGTGTAAAATGTAAATACGCTATAAACACATGAAGTGTAAATATTTACATCTAAAATTTTATTCAATCGTGTTGCTTTACTATTCTAAAATGCCTTTTTCTTTTTACTTGAACATCCTTGGTTGACCAACCGTCAAATGTGATATGCCAGATCACAGATGACTGATAAGCGGTTGTATCAAGTTGAAGCAAAGCAACCTTCCCATTCTGTACGGTGAATTTATGGTCATCAAAATTTGTGATTTTGTTTCGAGTATATAGTTGCTTTCTCATAACAAATTCGTTCAGATCACACAATACATACATTGGGTACAGACTACAGATCATACGCTACCTTTAAATACGAAGCACAAAAAAATAGCAGAAAAGTTTGTATAAAAGTTACAATCACATTCATAGCTTTATCATCGACGTACAAATTGGAAAAATAGAAGTTAGAAATATGAGTGTTTCAAAATTAGCCTCGGCTCTTACAATGACTGTTATGCTATTCACAGCTGTGAATGGTATCTCTACCCATACTAAAGAAGAGGTGATGTTAAGAATCCGAGAACGCCGACAAAGTGTGGGCCCATTGACGGAACTGAGTCCCAGCGTCTTGGATGTTATCCAACAGTCCGGATGCAAGGATTACGGTTCTAGGCAGTGGTGCGACGATGATATACAGTGTTCATGGACAGGGTACAGTTGTATTCCCGACGCCGCTGTAGCTTTAGCCGCGGATCAGTGGGAGCGTATTTGTCAACAGTACGACGACCAGGAATTATGCGAGACACCGGAAATGTACGGAGAGTCCTTCGGGGGCACTTACTACTGTAAGTGGTTTGGTTCCGATGGTAACTTGCAAGGATGTCAGCCTGACGTTCTTAACGAGGAGGTGAATGAGTTGTGTGATACATATCCATTCCGATCCATGTGCCGGAATGTGCCTTACTGCAAATTCATTGAAAACGGGCAGATATGCCGAACACGATTTCGATCAGAGTTGAGCGAACGATTGGACTTCGACAATGATGAGGTTCCCCCAGGAGGCGAGTGAAAAGCAAAGTGAGATAGAGTATACAATGGGAGTGGAATGAAGTCGCGCATGATTTGTCCAAAATGTAGTCACGCAGTGCATGTACAGGCTGAAGTCGCGGTTGAATCGTACTTCGCCGCTCAGAAAGCCCCCAATATATCTATATCTAGCCAAGGCGATATTGCTGTCACACATCAAGACATTGGTTGCTGCACTCTGATGATGTTCTTATGCAGTGCAACTCACACTAGTGTCTGAGGCTACACTTATCCTAGCTGTGCTAGTAAGCTGAGCTGCATTTTCGGCGATGCTAGAACTGGCACAAACGTAGTCGACTGTAAAAGATCAGCTACAAAGATGTAGAAGGGAAAAAGGTGATATTTATGATATAAAAAACGAAATAAATAGTACGAACGAAACAATCAAGCCGGCCTGTATTGCTTTTATCTTGTGTACCTTGCTTTGCAAATCTACTGCCGCACCATCGCACAGCAGTTGGGGCGGTGTAGCCGAAAGGTAATAGGTGCTAGAGGGTGTGGAAGTCTTTGCTTGTTCCCTGCATATATTATGGGCGCAAATGGCCTAAACCGGGTTGCTTAAAAGTGGAAAGCGTCCGGTTATAAGTAAAAAATATTTTACCCTCAAGACTGTGGGAAGTAGCAGCCCTTAATATTTTGCTTGTAAGGAGCTGACTTATTTTGTGCTACATACCAACGTGATGAGCACTCATACCACGTCAAATTTTCCTGGTAAATTACTCAGCCGTTGTTCGCATCGTTCGAGGGGTTTCACTATATCTTTTTTGTTCATTTCGATCGTCGGTTTCGTTCATTTCGATCGTCGGTTTGTTTTTAAACTTTCTATTTCCTGCTTTTTCTTCACTTCCTGCCATTAAGATCTAGGCCAGGCCATCGTGAGAAACCGGAGTGGCAGACCACCAGGAAGTCCAATTTTTGGTAGCTTTTCTGTACATCGAGCCGGTATTGCTTCCTCGCCTATTCGTTTTTATCGAAACCTCGTCTTCGGATTTGTCAACAGTATTGGAACTTATTGTGTGTTTGTGAAGATTATCGAACGAATGGTCGCTCAAGCTGTGTACAGCACGTTCGTCCAGCGGTAGTCCCGTTTCAGGGTCGATACCATTTTCTCTCATCCGTCGCTTTGTCAATTCGAAGCGAGCTTCGTCAAAACTAATGCCTGAATATCGGAATAGGTTGTGATCGGGGAAAGAGATCAGATTAGGTACTTCCAGTAATGAAATCAACGGCACTAGGGTATAACTTGGCACATTCAAAAACAATTTAAAATCTATATGTGAAAGTACAAATTGATTAAGGTAAAGTTTCCAGTTGAACGATTCTAATTGAATATATTTGTATATATGTGGTTGTGGTATTTCGACCGTATAAACCACCATTACAGGGTGCTAGAGCACGCGCAGCAGAACGTACACGTAAAAGTTGGAAGTTCCAACTTCGCCACTGTATATATGCTATCATACGAACGCAGCCAAGTACTTGACCACTAGTGATGAAAAGCAATACAACTAAAGCAGTTGATAACATTCAGTCGTGCAAACTATTGTTGTCTGTTAATAAATACCTTTCTGTGCCATGATCTCAGAAATAAAAGCAGCTTCCTTATCGCACAATCCACTTCTCTCATCACCTTGTTCCACATTCTCGTTCAAACAGAAATTCGAACTAGTTAGACCACCTATGATATTTTTTGTGAAGCCAGAGACCGCCTGTTTATCATGGAATATAGGAGGTAAATAGTTTAGCAATATACCTTAATGCCTCGTTTACATAGCGAATTTTTTACAAAGTGAAGTGCTGCTTTGATCTGTGCTGCTGCAATATGA